TATATATATTCAAAAAATGTTATTTACCTTATGATATTAAAATAGAGTTTAATAAGAAAAATTAGATTAATTTATGTGGTATTAAAATACAATAAGTTAATAAATTATTTTACTATTTGATATTTTCAGCTTATATATAAAAAATGAAAAAACTACCAGCTTATATGTTATTAAGTTAAATTGTCTTGTGCATATAACAATGTAGTGGATATTTCGATGCAAGCATAAAACAATTAAACAAAAACTCTAAGAGAGCAAGAAGCATGCTTTTATGCTTGAATGCGTGTAAATAAATTAGAATAATTTTAAAAGTAAACATCTCAGTCAATAAACAATAGAAGTTAATAAAAAATACTAAGCAAAAATATATTCATATTATATAATAAACAACACTTAAATTTAAGTGTAATTCTCAATAAATTTAAGTGTTTTTTGATATTTTATATAATTTTTTTTTTACATAAACCTATTATTTATTTATATGTAAATAAACCATAAATATCATACGGTTTATTCATATTTTATTTAAGAATTAGTTTTAAAATAAATGGATACATGATTTATTTAAGAATTAGTTTTAAAATAAATGGATACATGATTTATTCACATATAAATGAAAACAAGGAAAATTGATGTAAAACTATATTTTATATAAAACAAATATACTAATGTAACTAATATGAATATTCATTTAAATTAACATATACAAGTATTAAACAAATGCATGAAGATAGCACTTATAAAGATATTAAAACCAAAGTTGATAAAGGCATTTATGCTTAAAACAACTACCAATAACAAAAGTGAACTGAAAGATCCTAAAACAAATACAGTATAAAATATTTTGTATTATTGGTTGTAATTTTTTGATATTAACTTAAAAATAAATATCAAATATAATAAAACTTTAAACTCATATAATATTTTTTAATATTTATATAACTATATATGTGAAGTTTTTTTCAACTTTTATATTTTCAAGGAAAAGAGCAGAAATATTTATTTTTATATGAAAAGTTTAATAAAATATTTAAGATATATAAATGATAAATTAATTTATTTATAAAAGAACGTTAACTGTTTAAGAAGATTTATGCAAATAAATAAATAAATAAATTAAATTAAATTAAATAAAAGCTAATGAAAATCTGATAAGACAATAGTAAAAATCTTTTGAAAGATTAACCACTGGAGTTGCTTTATAGCATCTCTAATTGTTAGCATAATAATAATATTATTATTATTATTATTATTATTATTATTATTATTTACTTTTATTTTTTTAATTTTGACACTTCATATTTTAATCAAACATCCATTGATTAAAAAATTGTTGATATAAATTCATACCAATGATTAACGTTTTTAAAAACATTTTTTTTTAAAATTAACTAATTTATGATTATCTTACTTATTATGTTATACAGTTTGCCCAGGGCTACTCTCCTTAAAAATGTTATATAAAGTAAACTATCCTCTTATGATTTTTCAAATTTTAAGTATACTTCATAATTTAAAAAATGATATCGATTGATATTAATATTTTAATAATAATAAAAGATTAAATAGAATGTTATAGTAATGTTATCTAATCTTTGGTATTTCTAACATTTTTTCAAAATTTTGACAGTTATTTTTTATAATAAATTTTTTATCAAAATATATTTTATATATTTAATTTATATAATAAAAAACAATATCAAAATATACATACCACCGTTTACAATAAATTGTATAATTATTAAAAAAAAGTGTTTTCAAAAGAAAATTGAAAAAATAACTTTTATCTTCCAATTTTAAAAGCTTTTTAAAATAGTAAAAACGTTTAAAAAAACTATCATTAAAAATTTCATATATTATGTTTTTCATAAAATAATAATGTATATAGAAAATTATAAATTGATTATAAAAAAGATCGGTGATTTTATATATGCTGAAAATTTCAAAATGAAGGTCCTACCACCCTTACCAAAAATCACCTCCCTCCGTACGCAGCCGGGGACGAACAGCTGTACCATTTCCATGTAAACTTAATGCCCTCTCCCACCTTCCTATATAACCTCACCCCTACCCTCCATTCCTTCTCACCTCACCTCACCCCACCCCACCACTCCCATCGCCATTTCAAATCCTCCCCTGTCTGTGTCTTACTAGGCGCAGAGATACCACATAACGCCATTGTTGCCTCTCATGAAACCAGTTGCAGCTCCTACAACACAACAGCATCACCATATTTCATCATTCCATCTTCACTTGTACGACTACCGAAGCTAATTAATCAATGGAGGCGCCTCCCTACTACGCGCCACCGCAACAACACCACGGTTCATCTCGCCCCACCATAGGTTTTCCACTCGGCACCGCTTTGCTCCTGATTGTCGTTTTCAGCCTCAGCGGTATCTTCTCATGTTGTTACCATTGGGACAAACTTCGTCACCTCCGCGGTGATTTCTCCGACGCCGATCCTGATTCAGACGACAGTCAACATCACTCCGCTTCTAAACCTAAACCTCCGTACTCGGTATGTAATTCAATTCCGATCAGATCTTAAATCAAGCACCTAATCGAGCTTTTTTGGCCAATTGATTCACACGATTATTCCTCTCTGTCAAAAACTATTGTTGAAATATCTTAGTAATTACCTGCTGAAACAGGAAAAGAAGCAAGATTGTGATCGGAGTTTACCGGTGATAATGGCTGGAGATCAGTTCGCGAGGTTCATAGCAATGCCGTGCCCATGTGAACCACCGAGACAGGAAAAGATCACGGCAGAAGAGATTCAGAAACCGCCAAAACCACCGCATGTAGTCGTCACCATATGTTAATTTTTCTCTGTACATATCAATTTTTAATATATGAAAATGAAATGGATTTTGTGATTCGTCTTCTTGGTTCTTTTCATTTTTATTTAGACTTTTTACAGGATTGGGTTCAAGTTCAACAATGGAAGTTAAACTTGGACTTTTTTGTGTGGAATATGCTACACACCAAACAAAAACAGTTTGCCACGCCGCGAAAAGATCAAAATTTTACCCACCATTTTTTATTTATTTCACTAAAATTGTAACCATTAAAATCAAAAAAGTATTTTGTAAAGATTCCTTACTTATTAAACTGTGACTTATAGTAAAAAGTATATTTGCTAGTATATATTTCTAAAATGGAGCACGTCTTAGAATCAAATCCCATATAAACATGTGGTAAAAAAAAAATATGTATATTTATTTTTGTAATTTATCTAGATTTTTTCAAAAATATCTTATATCTTTATTAGCTTTTTAATGTTATTTATATCAGTTTTTATTAAATTACTAGTATTGTAATATATATGTTCATGCATTATTATAATAATGATATTGTAATATATGCCAATTTTTAAGTTTTGATTTAAATATGTTATATGTTTTAAATTATTAAAAAGTATTTATATATATAATTTTGAAATAGAAGGATTAAGTTTAAAATATATTATTGATTGATGCCATTTTGATATATTTCTAGCCTAAGAGTATCAGATGCTGTCTCCGTTCTTTGAGGTTGATAGTTCAAGTCTCATCGTAGACATAGATGAAATTGAGTGTTAACTTAGACCATCTCCAACCCTACTCCATTTTTTATTTCATTTTTACCCCTAAAAAGTATATTCCATAATTCTAACTTATATAAATTGTGAAACATACCACTTCTATTAATTTTGTTCTAACAAATATATAATCTATATTTTTTCATTACAATAATATTAAATAAATAAGATTATATTTATAACACTTAATTATAAGCTTTTGTAAAATACGTTACCGTGTTTTAAAATTTCAATATATATTTAAATTTTAATATGAATTTGATAAACAAAAAACAAATTTTATATTTATAATTAATTAATATAATTTAATATATAACACAATATTATACGTATTAAATATTACATTTAAATCATAATTAATAGATAAAATAAACTAGAAATGTATAAATATATAAAAAGAGGGACTAAAATCGACAACTCAAACTCCATTTTGGGGGAAATGAATAGTATAATACCATATTTGGTGTTATACTATTCATTTCCCCCAAAATGGGAGAATAAATGAGATAAGGTTGGAGAGGAATTGAGGAAGAAATGAAGAAAATAATGAAAAATGAGAGTGAGTTCGAGATGCTCTTATGCGTAGATTAGATTTGCTGGTTAAAAAAAACATAATATTACAAGTAATAAAATTTACTTTTAAAATATAAATATATTATCGAAATAGACTAAAATGTATACACCTAAATCTTGAAATATCAAAATTGATACATGGAAGTTGAATGTCATTATGATGTAAAACAATAATAATTTAAAATCAAATTTGATATTATATTAGTCTTTTAACCAAGAGATATAAGAAATAATGTTGGATTGCAGGAAATAATGCAAAACATGGAATACATGGTATTAGATTGGAGATGTCCTAACAAAATAAAATCTTATGAACCTAAAATCAATTGTCAATAATAATATTAAATAATTGGTTTATTTTGCTCAATCCATGATTCTCATATATATCGAGGCATTAACCATTCTTTTATCACTTGTCGCATATCTACCGTTTGGGGCCTCATGGAAAGATATTGGAATTAGACATCCCTCGTTTCACTACATGTCGTCATATCCAGATATGCTTCGGTGGTTGGGTTTGCAGGCCTTAACACAGTGCATCAACAAAGTTTAGATGCATTCATTTTAACCCCTTTGACGGACGATTTTGTCTAAGCTTTTCGGATTAGAAAAGCATGAAAAGATGCCATTTTTTACGACATAGTGGGTGTTTGGCTTATCTTTTGAGAGCTCAAAAGTTCTTTTTGGAAAAGATAAAATGCAAAAGATGTTTGGCAAAAGCATTTTAAAAACAACTTTTGGATTTTTGATATAAGGAAAACTGACTTTTTGGTAAAGTCAGGGAATCCTGACTTTTTGTAACTTTTGCCAAAAAGACTTTTGCCTCCAAAAAAGATAAGTCAAACACTCTCATAGTTTCACAATCTTATATTTGTTTGTTTAATATGAGTGGTTACAAAACCTTTCTATAACTTTCATGTAATTCTTTAGCATTTGTTAGTTTTTTTTTTCCAATAATATCTGTTGTTCAATAAAATGAAAGAACTAATTATGATACAAAGTGAAAATTAAACTAAAAAACGGTAATCAAGGGGAAGGGCTATGATTCAGTTTAGAATATATATTTAGATGCAAATTAAACTAAAAAATAGTAATTAAATTTGGGAAGTTGTTTAACTAGGAAACTAAACCAGTAACAAGACAAAACCAAACAATTTGTAACATCCCAATTTTCAAGACCAAAAATTTTGTTTTTAATTAAGCAATTCTAAAACAGATTACTGAAAAGCATCATCGATTCATATCATTTCATAAAACATAGTCACGTGTCTCAAACCATATCATAAAATAGTAATAATGTCAGAATACAATCCCAAGAATCTCATAATGCGGAAATTATGTGTGTATGTGTGTGATGCGTTGCTACCATGTCGGCTTCTTCCCCTTCGAAGAAGAGGTACCTGGAAACAAAACTGAAAACCGTAAGCACGAAGCTTAGTGAGTCCCCTATCATACCACATACCATAACACATAATGTCTATCTCTCGGTATCTTTCAACCGATATCTGTCTGGCATAACTGGAAGTTGGGTTTCCATTCGGTATCTTTTACCTGGTAACCAGGAGCTGACCTCCCCTTCGGTATCTTTCAACCGGTAACCGAAGACTATTTCACCCCTACCACTACCACATAATAATATAACACATTGTTAGGCATGCTTGGGTTCTGACGACCCCTTCGGTATCTTTCAACCGGTAACCGGGGACTATTTTACCCCTACCACTACTAACATATATCACAAAGCATCCTACCACACAAACATAACAGATAATGGCATACCAAATAATTATCACAAAGACAATCATCTAACAAACAACTTCTTACTAGTGGGCCGACATTGTGGCCTTAGACCCACCTCTACTGGAAGGTAACTCACCTCAATGTCGTGTAGTAACTGAATTGTCCTCGGTGCTGGAATCGACTCCTCTCAAACTCCTACACATAAAAACCTTCCTTAACTACCCTTTCATACTCATAACCCTTTTAAGGGTCAACTCAGGTCAAAGTCAAAGTCAAAGTCAACGCCCTGGTCAAAGTCAACATCCTGGATGACTCAACTCGCCGAGTTCCATTACTCAGAGAAACTCGCATTCGCGATCGGACTCGTCGAGTTACCCTCTAAATCGCTGAGTTTCTCCTTACGACAGAATTGAGACTTTCCACTTGAACTTGTCGAGTCCGTCCTTGGACTCGTCGAGTTCTCCTTCCTACGGGTCGGAACATTTGCTCATCGACTCGTCGAGTCCTTCTTTGTATCAGTTGGGACATTGTCTTGAACTTACCGAGTTCATCATGGAACTCGTCGAGTTCTTGATCTTCAAGTCCATATTCACGTCCATCTTGTTGAGTCCTCTTCTAGACTCAACCAGATTGCTTAGAAACAGAAAAGGTTGGGGAACCAAGACCCGACTCGCCGAGTCCTATGAACGACTCGCCGAGTCCCCCAAAGTCCAAGTTCATACAGTCGATTTCAGTCGGGCTTATTGCACCCAAAGCATAGATCTAGGCTCCTAGGGTCGATATAACATGTAAAGTTACAAACTTTACGTGCATGCATGGGTGTTATTAAGCTAAAACACCAAAACTAAGCCATATAGGAGTTATAATGCATGGAATAGGGCCATAGCTCAATAAAGGTGGCAACTTTGAGCTTCCTTAGCCCAAATGTTCCCAGATATGAAGTCATCACTCTAATATTCACTCAAATCCCAATAGTGACTTATAAATGTCCCAAAAATGACAAGATGCAAGCCCTAATGAAGATCTAAGTAAAGGAAAGCCAAGGTTGAAGCTTTTTACCACA